ATTTTACTTTTTTTAGTTAGGGATATATAGATAATATTATATGTATTTAGCTTTCTTTCTTTGAACAGTTTACAAATCTGAAATTGAAAGATTTAAATTTCAACCTTAAAATTAAAAGGTGCACATTATTATAAAATATAAAATTATTGAATTACGAAAATCAAATATATTTCTATTTAATTTAGTAACACCTTATAATTATAAAACTATAATCTAACAATATCTATTTATTTATTTATTCTATTTACAGTTAGTAAAAGAGTAGCCTGATATTATTTATTGTTTACCTAGTAGGTAATTTTAAATTTTAAATAAGAAAACTAATTAAGAAGTATTTGTTGGACTAGTCATAAGTAATCATTAGACCTTTTATAGAAAATGCTCTCCAATTTTCAGTAAAAGCTGCAAAGTAATAATCATTCACTCATGTAGTATGTACAAATTATAAACCATATACTAATATCTGCTTGGAAAATTAGTTAGGACTTCTGCACTTGCAGCCATAGTCGCACTAGAAATTTCACCTCAATTAAGAATGAGAACTTTATCTAGTTTTTTTTTTTTTTTTCTTTTTTTTATATAGTAAGAAACTTAAATTAATTAATGTGTTAGTATCTGTAGTATTAATGGAGAAATTCGAATGCTTAGAGAGAGTACAATCCACAAATTGCTCGTTTGGGTAGCAATGATCACCATTATGCCACAATAAGGAAATACAACTTTATCTAGTTATTACATTCAAATTTAAAAATTTTTTATGTAAAATCAAAATTAAAAAAGCATTTTACAGGTTAAATGGTAAAACACTAACTATTTAATAAAAAAGGCACTTCAATATTAAGAATCTTTTCTTATTAAATGATTCATATTTTACAGTATAAAATAGTTTAGGTTATAAAATAAAACATCCAATTAAAATTTAGGATTCAAACCTTGTAACATGAAGTTGTTAATTTTTGATATACAAAATAAAACGACAGAAAGCTCACCTCAAAACCATGGCTCTTGTCACAGTTTAAACCCTTGCTTAATTTTTGGACCCCAGTTAGAGCGGGGTGTTAGTCTTTTGAATTTGGAGAGTTGCAAGAAGTTGATCAAGCTCTATTACCCAAAATTGAACTTTTGCCAGTTTAAAAGGTAAATCAAGTGGGTGTGAAAATTTGCTTCTTTAATGATGTAAATTAAAAGAAGCTTTTAAATTAGTTTTGACCATGTGTAATTAATGGGAGGGAGCCTGTAATTTGGCCTTTAATCATGAAAATTCACCGAGGCGCCTGCGTCAATATTTCTTAGACCCAGCAACTTTGAAATGGAATAAATAAGCTCCAGTTACTTCACTTTACTGTGCTCAAGGAAAAAATATTCTACTACATATAATATAAACTATATAAAAATAATATAATTATAATACATATAATGTGCATTATAAATTTGCACTCATGGTGTTAATCTTTTTTGTACATATGAAGGTTACTTATTTTGTATCATAGAAGGTTAAATTTTTTATCTTTGATTTCAAATCAAGATTTTTAATTTAATATATATTAATTTGATTAAATTATAGTTAGTATAGTTATAATATGTCATTATATAATTAATTATTTTTATTTAAATAATCACACATAATATTATATGTAATAATTCATTTAATATCACATCATTATTATTATAAATTTATAATACTTCATAACATTATAGCCTTAACATTTTCATAAAATATATACGACTTATATATCATGAGGTAATATAAACGAGGATACAACTTTAAAAAAAAAATTAATTAAAAATATGACATTTTTTTTATTAATCAAAACTATTGCCTTTTAAAAGTTTCTAATAAAATATGTGACCTTTATAATTTCACTAATTAAAAGTATCACATTTCAAAAGTTTTTAATTAAAAATACGATCTTAAGTATCTACTTAATCATTTTTTTTTAAATTACAAAACTCATATAATTGATTAGAAACTTTTAAAAAATAATAGCTTCATTAATAAAAAAATCATATTTTTAATTTAAAAATTCCTTAAAAATTATATTCCTATTTATACCAAATCACTTTATATCACCAGTCAATATACACCCTTATTTTATTTTATTTTATTTTATTTTTTTGACCATTTTGACAAGAAGCGAATTTGAAACCTACCCAGAGAAGAGGGAGAGTGCACCAACAAACTGGTTAATGCCAGTAGACCTCTTGGCCCTGGTGCCAATATATATACACCCTTATGGTAATCTAATTCTCATAACTTTATATCACTAGTCAACATACACCCTTATGTTAATCTAATTCTCATAACACTTTGCTGCCACGTCTCAATCAGTGTCAGCAAGGGTGGTCGTCCTAATGGGACGAAAAATCAATTAAACTTAATTACTTTAATGTGACGTAGCTTGGATGGTTGATATTCATTGTCTGAAGCAGCGCTTGCAGAGTCTAATCAGAAAGGAACAACAATGGAGCTGCAGGGTCCTGCCTGTTTCCCTCTCAGCCTTTTGTAGCACGAGCAAGGCACTTCAACAATCTTTGTTCTCCTACCCAAAAAAAGAAAAAAAGAAAAACAATCTTTGTTCAATTAATTTGAAGTTTAAACATAATCTGCAAGAATGGATGTAGTATTCTAACAATCCTTTTTCCAGGGCCGGAGCCAACGAAGGACAAGGGGGGCAGCTGCCGCCCTGGCTTTTGAAAAACATTTAATATAGTACTCTAATTTTTATTTGTTAAAAATTTTATTTTTATCATATAAATTTCAAGGACTATTTCAAATGTAAAGAAAATATTTAAGATTTAAATAATGAGTTTTCAAAAAATAAAAATATAATTCAAGTAAAATGAATTTATGTCAATTGATTAATTAAGAATTAGGGTTCTTAAACATTTTCTTATTTATTAAACCCAAAAGAAAAAATTTTAATTATTTATTTAAACAACTTTAAATTTCCCATTTTCTTTAATATTCTTTTTTTTCCCTTAATATTCTATGTAATAATTCAAAGTTTTTTTCTTTTGGCATCGAGGTACATTTTTATTTTTCGTAATTAAATTTATATTTTTTTGTTAAATCAATTCAAGTTAGAGTTCACTTTCTAAAAAAATATTTTAGTATTTTTTTGTAATATAATATTTATTAATATGACCTCCAAAAAATTAAAAAGAAAATATTTTAAAACTATATTATTTTAATAAAATCAAAACACTCTCATTCTTACTTTATGAATGTTATTTATATTTTTTTAATGTAAGTTTATTAAAACAATTTAATTTTGTGATATTTTTCCTTATAATTTGTTAAAAATTCGGTTAACAGACAGGTTTCTCTTTTTTTATCCATTTTTCAATTGATCATTTTATATTCTATTATTATGATATTTCATTTTTTATTATAATTTAAAAATACATTTATTTTTAATTTTTGTTAAAAATACATCAGTAAAAAAGACTGCAGGTAAATCTTTCTATAAGAGAGAAGATTTAAAGAAAACAAATTAGTGTCATAAAAGATATTTTTAAAGACTTAAATCTTTAACAATAAATTTCGTCCCCTAACCAAGTTTCTTGGCTCTGTTTATTCCCATAGTTTTTCTAAACAAGAGCTAGCCAGGGCCAAGACAGTTTCATCCAACGAATCATCGATCACTTAATCAAACGATCTTAAACATCTACTGTTGCTCTAATCACTGAGACTTGAGTCTCTGGATGTCTACCAGCTGGTATAAATCGCCACGCCGTTGCTTTGTTAAGGGGAGACTTGTCCTAAATTTCATGAGTACAATGTATCAGAAAAGTGTAAGATGAACATCTTTGAAATAAAATCTAGGTGAAAGCCGCATTACCTCCTTTGCTCAAGCACAGAATAATCAATCTCCGCTATAACAATGTCCTCATTATGTTCCGTGGTAGCAAGAACTTCTCCAAACTGTCACATTTGTGAATATCAGCATTTAATTAATACCACTTAAGACTCACTAACAAACTTAAAATTAACTCATTAATTCTTCTTTCCATTATTAGTAAGAAAACAAAGTTGCATATTTTGATATATAACTACTAGAATTTTGTATTCAAAGAGAAAAATCCACTTACAGGTCCTACAAGAGTGGAGTGGCCCCAGGCTACATAACCAGCTTTAGCATCTCTAGCAGGTGAACAAGTAGCCACATACAACTATATTATGGCATAAAATTGTCAGAAAAGATACATGGAGGAACCATTTTAGGTATTAATAAAGTTTGCATGTCAAATCTAATGATTCACAGAACAGTTGTCTCCCTGAAGATTGGTGGATTGCTGATTTTTTTATGGAGGGTGTGGTATGTGATCATCGGAAAGCTCTCATGAGAAAAATGGAACCTTAACACCAATCTATGGAAAAGAAATGACAAAAGTTTAATACCTTACCTGATTATCTGCTGCCCTGCATACATCAAAGAGTGACAGCACATCAGTAAGATAAGCAACCATCATTTACAGACTACACTCTTCATGAGACGCAACTAAAAAGCCCACTGAATCATCCCATAATGGGCCCTCATTTTGTTAAGAACATTTCCAGAGCATGTAAAAGAAAATTTTGGGCAAGACATGTAGTATAAACAAAGATCATTTTAAGCAACTATTAGTACTTTGGGATACCTGGAAAAAATTTAAACACCTTTTCATTAACTGAAACATATTAATACCTAGCCCTCTGCAATAATTCCCAATGCAAGGGTCCAGTTGTCATGTTAAATGCTCCAGGATAACAAAGCAAATGAGCACCTACATGCAAAAACACGAGCCTCATATAGGGCAGCAGATTCATAAACAAGAGAAGCATCAGGCAGTATTCTATCAATATCAGAAGGTGCACCTCATTGATATATTAGACATAAAGACATTATTATATTAATCATTTTGCCATACAAGGGATGGATAAACAAACCTCTTGCTGCATATATCATTGCCAGTTCCTGAAATCTAATGTCATAACAGATACCTATACCAATATGCCCAACATCTACAAAAAGCTTTGATGGTTAGTTTCCAACAAAAAGCAAATTCTCAAGGAAATTCAAAGAATTATCAGGAAATGATTTTAAATACTCAATCAGAATTAAGTGGGTGGATAAAGGACGAATTTGAGAAGCAAAGTAGGTTGGACATTCAATTGCAAATCATTTTTTGTTAAAATAGTCAACCATTTAGTACTAACATTGCTTTACTAATTATGGACAGCATAAGATAATATTTTAATAGTATATCCAAGGGAACATTGCCACAAAAAAGTTTAAGGAAACATCAAACCTGTGTCCACAATAGTGGGGGACTCCCCTCCAGTGAGTGTCTTTGATTCCATGAAGGTTATCTTCCCAGGAATATCAATATCAAAAAGGTGAATCTGTAGTTCCACATGAATTGTTTAGTCAGATACATCATGCAAACTGGATGCAATGAGATGTGTTCAAAAGACATAACGCAAGAAATCTTCTAGGGGAACTTGTTAGTGTGGCATTCAATAACACAGACTGTGTTCCCCAAACTACGATCCTTAAGAGTTCATACATTAACAGGCTTGTGAGTTGTGACAAAAGATAAAAGACAGTGAATATTGATCATTTTTTACAGGCGCCAGGCATCAAAATTTTACAGCCTAGCACTAGTATTAGTATATGATCGTATAAACAATTAAAAATACACAGGGGATGTACCCAATTGTTGATATCATCCACTAATATGTGGATGTGAGGATGTAGGTAGCTGATCATAAGTCTCATATGATAGTCTGATCATTATAACTAATGAATAGGCTGTCCAAGTCTCAAGAATACACTACTCAGCAAGACTTTCATTTTCTGTGTGAAAATATATGGAGTATATGGTGAGCCTACCTTCCGGTGCTTTGCTTTCAGCTTTCCATCAGTACCGAAGACACAACAAGTGTTATACAACTTATCCCCACAACGTTCAGGTATGGAGCCACCAACTATGGTAATCTTCAAACGATGAGAAACTTCAGACAACATAGCTGTTGATGGAGATGCATCACCTTTGGCATCAATGTCTTCAGCATAAACTGGGAAGCTGTCATTTGAATAGGGACTATTCCATATCTCCTGGTACAATTACAAAAAGGAAGGGCCTTAGTTTGATACGACAAACTCATCACCCAACATTTACGATGTTCAACAAATTTAATCTATCGTTCTAATTTTATAAAAACACCTAATTCCATGTTAGCCTCCTCAATACACGAGTTCACCTCAGATTAGTTTTACAGGCATTGACTTAAATTAATTTAGCAGTGCTAAAAACCAGAAAAAAGTCAAACAGCAGAAAACAAATGCTATGAAATTAAGCTTACCGGCAACAGAACAAGCTGGGCGCCCTTCCCTGCAGCGTCCTCGATGGCCTTTCGAGCATGCGCAATGTTCCTCTCTTTATCCGGCGTCACGGATAACTGGCAAAGTCCAATCTTGAACTGCAACAAAACCCACAACGCAAAATCTCAATCACAAGTAACCAAAATCACAAAACCGAACACAGAAGGAAGTTGAAAGAAATTGCCTTTGTGACAGGTGGAGTTGGCAAGGGAACAGCAGGAGGGGACCTCGCTTTCTCCGGGTTGAAAGTCGATGCCATTGCTCTAAGCCTCAGGCTGCGATGATCAGAGATATTGCTCCCCAAGTTGGCCGGAGTGGGATTGATTCGGCGGACCGCGGGGACGAAATGGATTCTGCGAGAAACGAATGCAGGGCGCAGGATAGAGCGAGCGAGAGGAGATTGATTGAGATTCTTTGAACTCGCGAGTGAGGACAGAGCTGACTTCATTTCACCTCTGCCACAGGTTTGCTAAGTTTAGCCGTCGTGG